CATAAAGAAATTATATTTGTCCATTCAAGGTATCTCATTATATTTGGGTGTAAACATAATCTTTAAGATAAACACAGTCTGTTCTGGATAAATATTAATTTAGGGGAGTCGTCCCATAATAGAATATTGCAGACCAGGTAGTTTATTAGCAACTGAAATTTGTTTCTCACATCTCTGAAAGCTGGGAAATCCAAGATTAAGGCACCAAAACAGTGCCTTCTGGTGAACACCCTCTTCCCAGTTCACTGTGTCCTTACATGATGGAAAGGATTAGGAAACTTTCGACTTCCTGGAGGGGAAGAGAGAGGAAAATATCAATTATTCCTCTCGACTGGCCCCTCTACCCAACCCACAGCCCTGACAACCTCCCTCACTCAATCCACTGAGCTACACCAGCCAGGGCTCAGACTTCTTATAAAAGGTCACTAATTTCATTCATGAGGGCTTTACCCTTAAGACCTAATCATCTCCCACAGGGGCACCTCCTAAATGCCATCATCTCAGCTGTTAAGTTTTAACATATGAATTTTGACAGGGACACCAACATTGAGACCATAGCAGAAGCTACATATAGTCACATCTGGATTTCCTGTGACCCATTTGCAGCCCTTCTGTCTTCCTTTCCAGGAGACTAATAATTTTGAAGTAGGTGAGACAGCAGGTGGTTGGGAGGTGTAGTATTGAAGTATCATTGTATTCTACAGGGGAAGAATATCTCATGCCTGCTTATGATGCCTCTGTCATCAATTCCTTACTTGTCACTGGGTACTCTGTGCAGGGTCACCCCATTGGACTTTACGGACACAACTGTGGACAAAGCCTAGAGTTCCTGTTATCTGTGGTGTGCAAATCCCATTCTAGGTCTTTCCCAGTCCCTAGGGTCTGTTAGCATTTTAGCATTCCCTGTAGGAAAGCCTGGCTTTGTGAATGTGAATAGGCTGTGAGTCTGCCCCCCCGACCTCCCTGGGTGGATTCCTTCCTCGCTCATTCTGTCCAGTGACAAGCAAGGAATTGTATCTTTCAGAACATAGAAATCTCCTAAGAGGCTTGAAATTATTCTAAGCTTCTGTAATATAAAGAAAAGCCTCTATTCTCTGGATATCCAAGGCACTTTCTGGTCATTTCTAACTAGAGATTCCGGTTCTAGATTCTAACTACAGCCAGAGATTCAGCACCAAGGATAGGGAATGCTCACCTCTGATTAAAGATTTTATTTATTTATTTTTTAGAGAGAGGGGAAGGGAGGGAGAGAGGGAGAGAAACATCAGTCATTGCCTCTCATAGGTGCCCCACCTATGAGATGGGTGCAGGGACTGGCACTGCACCCGCATCATGTGCTCTGACTGGAAATTGAACTGCCAACCTTTCTCTTTGTGGGATGACACCCAACCAACTGTGTCACAGCCATCAGGGCATCTCTGATCAGTTTTCCCCTCTATTCCTCTCTTCATCTCTTTGGTCTTGCTGGGAGTGTTTTAAATCTTCCCATAGGACAGAACTCCCCTCGGTTGTGTCTTAACTTCTGTGGAATATGTAGTTCGTTTCCATGAGGCAACAAGTTGGAATGGTTACAAAACAAAAACAAAGACATCAAATGACTAAATCAGTGAACACACCCAGAGGTATTTAAAAATAAGGCCTCGGAAACAGTGCTATGATAGATCAGATGTTTTGAAGCAGGTATCCTGACAATCCTAAAAATATAATGTTTCCATCCTTGATTTCTGTCTTAAAGTAGCTTTTGGACATAGCAGGAATTTAAAGTATTTAAAACTGAAACTGAAACGATTACTACATAATAGTTTTCAGGATAATTAGGAAGCCCACTGTCATCTCCAGGAACCCAATGCCTTTGGCTGCATAAGGACTTTGAGAATTTTAATATCACAACTTCTGTAATAAAAAATTATAGTACCTCAGAAAAACTATTTATTTCAGTTATATTAAATTCTAACAATACTGTCAGGTCATAACTTCCAAAGTTACCCGCCCCCCCCCCCCCATCGTGCATGCTCTTCATCTCTATGACCATTGCCTTTTCCCATTAAGTCTAACCCTTCTGCTCTTGAATCTTGGCAGGGTTGTGACTGTTCCAACCAATAGAGTACAGTGGAAGGGACATGGTGTTACTTTCCAGGCAAGGTCGTAAGAGGCCATGCATCTTCTGCCTTGTCTACTGAATCACTTCTGTTTCCTGAGTTCCATGTAGGACATCCAACTATCCTGAGACTACCATGCTATGGGGAAGTCAAGCTACATGAAGAGACTAGGGGAGGCACTCTGGTCAGCAGTTCAAGCATTTGAGTCATTCCAGCCCAGGCACCAGACATGTCAGTGAATGTACCCTCAGATAATTCTAGTCCCAGACATCAGGTCAACTTCAGCCTTTGGGCTTTCCCACATTTTCCAAAAAACATCTTCACTGTTCCCTATTCTAATTTCTGACCCACTGAATCTGTGAGCATAAAAAAAGATTGTTTTTAACAACCAAAACTAGAACAATATGCTATGTAGCTTTAGTAATTAAAACAATGAATTAACTTATGTGTTTGCATATTTTCAAAACTATCTTGGTCAAGGACTTAAGAAATGGATTGCTTTTACTGAATTCAATAATCAAAAGTGAGAATAAAGTATTGAGTTATGTTCTATCTATTGAGAAAGGCAGGAAACACCTTGTGTGCCCATGAATTGCATAAACCAAACTTTGGTTTGTGAATAGTATATACAATTTTGAAGAATATGGTTTGGGGATAATCCAGGTAAAATTTCTATGATAATTAAAACTAGATGATATTGGTCAAAAAGAGGAGACTGTAAATAGCATATTTGTGGGGGGAGGAGCTCAAATTAAGATCTTCAGAAATTGCTAAAACTAAGTATATATTATGAAGTTTTTAATGAGGAACACAATATTTACAGATCAAAATTTCACTTCATTAATTTGGGCTAGACAGGGAAGAGCAAACTACTTGAAAGTTTGATTAACATTTCCATTAAACTGGAGATTTACTGTGTATCTGGTGGGTGAGGGTGGAAGAAAGAGCTCTGAATTGACCTGGGTAGAGTTTGCACTCTGATAAGAGTTTATAAACTTTATATTCTGAAATCACTGATTCTAATAGCAGGGAGGAGTTTTCTGATTCAAATAGACTCTACTTCTGCCTCCCTTGCTCTGTTTCACTGGGCATTTGTATAGACATGAAGTAGTGAACTATGACAGGCTGAAAATATATACAGTCTTGTGGTTAGAACATAGTAGTCATTTTATGACAGATATGAGCCCTGTGAGTCCTGGGGAACCAATTCTGATCATAGCAGAACTGGTCCAAGGAGCCAACTTAATTCAATGCTTAATCCACACAATGTGAGAGGTGATGGCCATGACATTGAGGACACAAAGATGAAGAGCAGATGCTGTAGATAGTATAAATGAATAATTACATTAGGAAGTGATCACTGTGCATTTCTTTATGACATGTATTTCATTATGATGAAATTGTCTACATATGTGTCTGTCTTTTTAACTAGGGAAAACATTCTGTCTAACTCATCATTCTATCCACAGCATCAGCATAGATTTTGGCTCAGAGAAAGCACTCAATAAATGCCCTATAAAAATAATTGAACCAGAAGTAAAATAATAAAAGCAGAGGCATATATATGGCTTAGAAATTCTGCAAGTCAGAAACCTGAGTGTAGTCCTGGGTCCCTTCTCCCTTTCTCTCAACTTCTGCATCTACCTGAACACTAAGCTCTGATGTTTCTCCTCCCCAATCATTCTGCTTTTGTTCTTTCTCAATTCTATAGCTGTTGGGGACTTCCCTGGATGGTTTCAGAAGCTGTAACCTCCCATGGCTAAAGCTGAGTGAGAGACCTTGAGACCATAAGCCACTAAGGAGACAAAGCTTATCTCCCTGGCAGGGGTGCTGCTTCTGCCCCTTCACCTCACCCTGCCTGGCCCTCGATGCTTGATCGGTTAGCCAGTGATGGGTAATATTCCTCAAGGGAAGGACAGCCTAAGACAGGCACACTCACAGGGGCGCCCAGGTAAGGACTTGGTGGGCTATAGTAAAAGGGGGTGATGGGCCCTTGCCCCTCAGCTTTGACATAGCCTGAGTTTTCATTCTGTCTGCAAGAAGTCTCCTAATCTCATGGCTGCCTTACTTCCCCTGCCTGACTTAAGCCTGAAACAATGGCAGAGGGTGGTACAGCCCTGTGCTGGAAAGGGCAGGATCCCCCGAGGCAATCAGGCCTAAGAAAGAATACATAAAATCCTGCGAAACCCACTTTGCTAAAAATGCCCTCAATTTTCTGATAAAGGTCCAAGTATGAAATGAGTTTGTTTCCCAAAATTTTATAGCCCTTTAGCTAACTGACCCTGACACAAACTAAGCCCTCAGAGTTCTTTGAATGTTATCTATTGTTTGATCATTACTGCCTGACAATGTTTGATGAGCTTTACCTGTTTTCCTGTGCAAATTGAACCCAATAAAAGCCCATTGAGGAAAAGCCTCTCTATGGTAGAGGCCAGAGGGAGGGTTGGGGTGGGGCTGCGGGTGGAGCCTCCAGCCACCCACAGCCTTAAGTAACAGGCAACTCATCTTTTCCCTATACTGCCACCATAATCTCTTAACTAGTCCTATTCCCCCAATCTTGTTTATCTCAATCCACTCACCACACTGCCATAAAAGTGACTAGTAAAAGGAAAATCTGCTTATGTTATTCTACTGCTTAAAAACTTTCAAGATTCTCCCTTACTGTATGAAGTCCAAACTACTTTGAATAAAATCCAAGACTGTTGTCTGGCCTATAGCCACTTTTTTAGGTTCATTTCCCACACACATCCAAATGCTTTCTTCTACTTGGTCAACATGGTCCTCTTTCAACTCTGCCAAAGTGCTTATATATACAGGGTACAGCAGAAGTAACACCTGCTTGAGTGATGTTGGTAGGATAATAATATGGGTGTAATAGTTTATAGTAGTTTTTTTTTTGGCCAGGGGATAGCATGAATGCAGTCCCTCGCTACCACAAAATTATGCATTCAAGTTTCCCACATTTGGGGAAATCGCAGGGATCAGCACAGTAGAGTGTAATGGATAAGCCTTGCCCTGGGAAAACCACCTTCCTCCTTCATGACCATAGTATCTCCTCTGCCAGGTAAGTGTTAATAGTTTATAGTTTTAACTTGAACACTTCACCCAAAATGTCATATGATGTGCTTGAAGGTGGTATTGTTATGTTACAGAATTACATGCTTATGATTTTGTGATAAAAAAGAGGTTATTTGGGCTGGACACTGTATATGTCTTTGCAAGTCCTGTTCTCCTGGCTATCTATCCACCTTCTTCCTTTTTCTCCCCAGCCCTAGCTTTAATATGTCTGGAAAAGTTCTCCATCTTTCAGGGCCCACTCAAGCAGAGCTGATAACCTTCTTTGCACCATCACTGTACTTTTATTCTATCATACAAAGAGAACATAGTTTTAAGTATAAGATGGTGACCTCTGGTCTGAAGCTGTCTTGGTTCATGTTCTACCTCTAAGACATTCAGCAGGGTGATCTTAGCTGAACACTTCATGTTTTAATGCCTTAGTTTTTTCATCTGTAAATGAACTCTTCTTGGTCTTTCTTAAAGAGCTGACTTTATGGTAGCCACAGTGCTTATTTTGCCCGTGCTAGAATTGGCCAGTGGGGGCTCTGTCACATGTCTAGAGGCTTGAGGGAGAGTGAGTATAAGATGGGTCTGGATCCACAATTCCCAAAGGTGTGGAGGGTAGGCTTTCCCCACACCCACAAGCAATTTTCAGATACCAGCTGGATGTCCTATATTCAACTCAGTTCTGACACTGCCTGCCTGGAGACAGCATCAGATCGCACAGGTTAAGGGCTCAGTCCCACCAGACTTCCAGTTGCAAGCCCAGGTTGTCATCTGTACTTGTGAAAGACAGGCTAGAGATTGGAGGCTCCAATGACCCACTCCTTGGGTTTGATGAGTTTGCTAGAGTGGCTCACAGGACTTTATCTACTAGATTGCTAGTTTATTAAACAAGGATCTATAATGCAGAAACAGTTTGGCAGAAGTGATGTGTAGGCCAAGGCATAGGAGGAGGGTGCAGACTTCCATGTTCTCAGAGGGTGTTGCTCTCACCAAACCTCTATGTGTTCATCAACCTGAAAGCTCTCTGAAGCTGGTTCTTTTTTTTTTAAGGAGGCTTTATTGCATAAACATGATTGATTAAATCAATCATTATATCATTCCAGCTCAATAATCACATGATTGGCTCCAGGAGCAACCAGGCCCCATCCTTAGATGGGATCAGATAGGTACCTTGTTATCATAACACTTCATACATACTCACTTCAGAAAATATAAGGGTTTTAGAATCTCTGTGCCACAAAGGGGGATGAAGACCAAATACATATTTCTCATTATAAATCACAATGTGGCAGAAGGCCAGGTATTCATTCTTCCACTTCTTTTCCTGTCAGACCCTCTTACCCTAAGGACACAGCTCCTGTAGGAAGGTCTCCTGTAGCTGCAGTTATCTTTTCCAGGTTCCATTCCTCTGATTTTCTCAGGTTCCCTTATCCCTGCCCACACCTGTGTAGACTTTTGTTAGAATCTTATCAAGTTTTCCATTGAGTGGACCACTTGTTTCTTACCAGGACCCTAGCTGGTACATTCTCCCCTAGTGGGTAGTGAAGCTTTGAAGCCTAGGCTTTAAAGATTTTAAGGCTAGGCTGTTATTTGGCTGCGTAATCTAGCATAGTAGCTGATGCTACATAGTTGAAGTTACATTTACAGCCCTGAATTAACTGTTGAGCAAATGGATGATTAACAGTTTGGAGAAAGAGGGGGTAGACAGGAAAGGCTTCAAAGAGCAGGTGATTGTTGAGCTAGGTTCAAAGCATGCTATGCAGGAACATTCCTTGCAAAGAAAATAGCTTGTGCAAAAGTACAAGGTGTGACAGTGTTTGGGGAACTACAAGTAACAATTATTTTGGAGCACAGAACATATTGGGCTCCCACATAAGCTTTCTTTGGTACAAATGATTCTGCTGCTATTGCAAAGTTTGAAATCACTGTCTTAGCCAAGCTTCGCACTTTGTAGACAGAAAAAAAAAATCTAGTAAAGGATAAAGGATAAATCTAATAAAGAATTGTCCAAGTTCACTATAAGATCTTTGTAGCAGTGTTCATTTATGACAGGGAAGTTCAAATCTCTTGACTCCATCTGCTACCTTACATGTACAGAGCCTTGGAAAACCAAAAAATCTGAGCCCCATAGAGTGATAGCAGATGCACTACAGACCTCGAGGCAAGCACATTAATGAGGCCAAGCTCACTGCTTTGTTAGAGGCATCACTTACCAAATGGAGTTGGCTGTGCAGGGAAGGCTCTGGGGGAGAGCCCTTGGGAGGCTAAGGACATTTTATTGAAACAAGCAGACATAATTAGGCCAGAATTCCATTCCACATGGCTCCTTTCCCTGGAGAGCTGGCCTGGGAGGCCAGGTTCCAAGGGGTGAGTCAGACACAGTAGGTATGTCAAAAACAGTCACTGGGTCCAGTCCTAAAGGCCTATGTCCTTGCTGAAGTAGAGTCACAAAAACTTGAAGTCTACTATCTGAATGGCAGGAAATCACACATAACACTTATTCTTTGTAACTACTTTCCTTCATGTGCTTGCTTGTAGTGACTTAGAGGGGAAAAGAGCAAGTTGGATGTCACTTAGCAATGCAGTAGTAGTGACGTCATCTTTCTCTCTTGACCTTGTGTAAGTAGAAGTGTATGGGTACAGTCAATGAGTGAATGAATGAATAAATATCTTGCACCTCATCTGTTTACCTTGCTCTTTAGCTATTTAGATAACTGGCTGTTATGGACTAAATGTTTGTGTTCCCCCTAAATTTATGTTGAAACCCTAACCTTCAATGTGATGGCATTTGGAAATTCTGTCTTTGGGAGAAGACTAGGTTTAGATGAGGTCATGAGGGCAGGCCCTCATGATGGGATCAGTGTATTTTAAAAAAAAGAGACACGAAAGAACTTGCTTGCTCGCTTTCTGACCACATGCAACAAACAGAAGGTCACGTGGGCAGACGGCAATAAGATGGCCTCTCTACAAGTCAGGAAGTATTATTTTCACCCAAACCTGACCATGCTTGTACCCTGACTGCAGATTTCCAGTTTTAAGAACTGTGAAAAAGTACATTTCTGTTGGTTATGACACCCAGTCTGTGGTATTTTGTTAGGGTAGCCTGAACTGACTAAATAACACTGGTTGTAGTTGCATTGTTTCTGATACTATTGTTAAAGAAATAAGGTAACTTTCCAGTTGTCAAGAAAAGACACTTAGAACCAGAGTGAGACTGAGATTCAGTGAGAAAGTTTTAAGACTGAGATTCAGTGAGAAAGTTTGCTATGTTAGCAATGTTCAGTGAAAAAGTTTGCTATGTATGCATTAACAATATTTTCGTTATCATAGTTCATTTTTATTGTATGTTTTCCATTACCATTTATCCCCTTATCCCCTTATACCTCTACCCACCCATCCCTCAATAACCACACTTTGTCTATGTCCATCAGTTCTTTTTCTCTTTTGTTTAATCTCTCTACCTTCCACAATGCCTCAGAGCTGTCAGCCTGCTCTCCATCTATGAGCCTGTCTCTATTTTGCTTGTTAGTTCAGTTTGTTCATTAGATTCCACGTATGAGTGAAATCATATGCTACTTCTCTTTCTCTGACTGGCTTATTTTGCTTAGTATAATGTTCTCCAGGTCCACCCATGCTATTGTAAAGGGTAAAATTTTCTTTTTTTTTTTTGCAACTGCACAGTATTTCACTGTGTACACGTACCATGGCTGTTTATCCACTCATCTACTGATGGGCACCTAGGCTGCTTCCACACCTTGGCTATTGTAAATGACACTGCTATGACCATAGGGGTGCATATAGTCTTTCAAATTAGTGTTGCAGGTTTCTTTGGATAAATTCCCAGAAATAGAATTGCTGGGTCATAAGCAGTTCCATTTTTAATTTTTTGAGGTAACTATACTGCTTTCCACAGTGACTGCACCAGTCTGCATTCCCACCATCACTGCAGTAGGGTTCCCCTTTCTCCACATCCTCGCCAGCACTTGTTGTTTGTTGATTTGCTGATGATAGCCATTCTGACAGGTGTGAGATGGTATCTCATTGTGGTTTTAACTTGCATTTCTCTGATGATTAGTTGCTACGTCCTCTTCCAACCATGTTGTCTGACAAGGTCCGGGCCTGGAGGATTCAAGTTCAAGAAATTTGTCTCCCCGGAGGAGAACATGGCATCCAAAATGGGTTATTTTATTTTAATTATTTTACTCTTGCTACTGAGTATGGACATTGTACTGTATTTACTTATTCCTGTGAAAATCACCCAAGAGGAAGAAACAGTTTAAGGGAAAACATTAGTATTCCCCACGGAACTGCCTGAAAGGATGGAAAAATCCCCACAGATTCCCCTCTCGCTTATACAGGGGAGTAGAACAGCCAGGGTAATAGAATTGTTAACCATAAGGGAAAACATATCAAGTTGTATAAATGACCCTGGTTTGAGCAACTTAAAGCGATCAGGACTGCCATGGTTTACCAGAAATAAGAAAAACAAGTTAGATCTCTTAAATCAATGGTTAAGGCCAGTTAATAAAGAACCAGGTTATTGTTGCAAACACAGGTTGTGCCGCCAACAGTTGAGGGGATGGAAGACCAGATTAGAAAGATTTTCCCATGACTGTTCCTTACCCACAGATACAAAGGGTCTTCCAAGAAAACAAGTAAAAACTATATAGACCCCTACCCACAGCCCAGGGATACGGTCGGGACGGTTGAGATGCATCTGCAAGGCAGAGGCAACTGTGGCTGGATTTCCTGTCTATCTCTCCTTACATGTTTGTTTGGGTGATCAAAAGGCGGTGGGATTGTTAGACACTTGTATTTCAGGTTCAATGATTAGCATAATTCCAATGAAGTTGTATAAAATAATTTCTTGACCAGAGAACAAAGTTCCCTCTAATGAAATAGCCCCTGAATGTTTAAAAGTTCTTGGAGTAACAGCCCCTCCTTTACCTTGAAGAGGAATATATATTAATTAGAATTAAGCAGGCAAAGAAACAGGAGAAGCTTGTTAG